AGCATCCGCATCTAAACTCGCCGAAATTGTATTAAAATTTCAATCTGCTACGCTATACATACACACAACGATATGAGCAAAAAAAAACAAACAACGCGATGGAAAGAATTATTCATAGTGGATGCCGTCTAATTTCATAATTATTAGATATCTAACATTGTTGGATAATTAGGAAGCTTCAGACCTGAGCTTATTCGTGCCATTTTTAGTCACTTTGGGCCGATAACATATCTAGAATATTAACAATCTATTTAAACTACGCTACAATCCATCTACTTTGCTCTATAGTATTTGTTCGCAGTTTTATTTCCGATATAAGCGGGAAGATGATTGCGAATATCATTACACAAAGCGGAGCTTAAATATCTACTAGATCTCAATATCAAACTTTAATTTTTTTTCTTCTGGCAGAGATTACAAAGTGTGTGTGCGCGTGTGTATGTATATGTGTATACGCGCATGTTATTTCAAAATATGTCCAGTTTTTTACCATATTATATTTTTCTATAATAGATTCTGACCAGTTTCAAGTTCTTCTCCAAAAAATGTTTCGTATACTTATTGTGAAATAAAATATATATTAAGTGCAGATATATATTAAAACAATTGAGAAGAAAGTACAAAATATCAAAAAATAAAACATTTTCTATTGAACGTAATCTACTGACCTTCAATACAATGAGCGGATACTACTTTTCTCTTTTTTAATCATATTAAAAATGTGTTACAATTGCAATACGTTGCAAAGTATAAGCATTATATATATATATAACAAAGATGTTTACAGCAAACCTTTCAAATGTAACACTGGCGATGAGTTCGCTATAAGAAATAATATGGTTTTAAAACAGGACATATGGTTAACATACGTTTATACATACACTTGACATTATATCTCAACTTTCATTTCACATTGTTACCTATATATGTATATTCTTTTTCTTTTGCCTATTTATTCCCTACGATAAATATACAATCGCAAAATTAATACATGATATTATATGCAACCAAAAACGGAGATATATTTCGAGATGATGCTAATTATTCTCGTCATTTCGATTCAAAACAAAAATTCCTTGGAATATTTATTTACACACTCATCTCAAATTATTGGTAAATTCAAGCAATGCAAAGAGATTTGAGAAAGTATATTAAAAATTAATTATATATTAAATAAACAAATAATAAATTTATATAATAAATTGTTTGTGTATGTCTGTGTGTAACACATTATAATAATGCAAATTTATAACATGAGTACGTCTTTTACTCTCTATTCAAGCTATTTAAGCGATTTAAATATTGCTAAAGTAGAGAGAGAGAGAGAGAGAGAGAGAAAGAGATTGCAAGTCAAAAAAAACTTTGAGACTATGTACGTATGTTCGACTAGTCAAGAGAATGCATGTACTAATTTAATACTAAATTTTTTTACATTCTTTAGGAACAATTGAACGAGTAAAAACATATTAAATAACTAAATAAAACTCAAACTATAAAGTTTATACAACGCATACGTAAAAGTTGAAATTGGCTTGACCCAATAAAAAAATGAAAAATATAACTAAAATATAACAAACTCATTAAAATTTTTAAATATTAGTCAACATATCTCAGTGTTATAAATACTGATCGTTTAAAAAAGCTTTCGCCACTTTAGAATATAATAAAGTGGTCGCGTCAATCAATAACTATAAACGTACGCACAACTTACAAACTCAAGTTGCAAGTAACAAATATATATACCGCACCTTTCGCAAACAATGTTCTCGCGACGAGTCTTTCCTAAATAAGAGAGAGACAAATATACTTTCGAGAAAAATAACTAGAAAAATAATTACAAATCAATCGCATGCGCATTGCCAGCTCGTTACCGTTTCGGCGCTATGTACCAATCATAATTTAACTCTATCCATTTCAACATACTCTCAATCCTTCATCGATCAAATATTATTTTCAAATTTTTTAAGAATATTTTCATGATATTTAATAGCGGACGAGATCGCGATTCTGTTAAGATGAGAGATATGAATTTCGATATCGTGTTATTGATACGATCGTTATCACGAGTGCTCATCGAGAGCTTTGTTTCGAATTATGCATGACACACACACACACACACACACACACACACACACATATACATATACATATGTAGAACCAAGCAATCCATCTGCACATTATCAAAGTTGATAGTTTAAAATTAAAAAATAAACAGTGTTTGTTTATCTAAATCTTTTTTTCAATGTATCGCATAGTGAAAAATTGTCATTATAATATTGAGGAAGACACTAAGAGAAATTAATTATCTCTCTCTAAATTTAAACTATCAATTTGCAGCTTCGTTACTACAGCAAATATTTAGCACGTAATTGCTTGGTCTATGTACATGTGCCGTTTGTTTTATACAATACATGTAATGATAGTTTAATAGTTTTATATTTAAAAATTGGTCAGTTTCTGCCATTCTCGACTATATTATTACAAAACCGCTTTCTTTACACACATATACATACAAACATACATACATACACACAGATATATATATATATATATATATATATATATATATATATATATGCATATACGCGTTTATATCATTTTATCGCAATGAGCGCGCACACACACGCACACACACACACGCACACACGACACACGCACGCACGCGCGCACACACAAAACATACGCATACGTATGCCTACAATACGCAATATGCAAATATCTTTAACAACTTTCTTTTTCCGGTATATTAAGATAAACAAGTAAAACCATTCAAATTATTTGATTAAACTCTTGAGGAAATTCACAATAACGCTTCTACTACGGAATAATTGTTACACATTAATACCGAAAAAACTTGTTAATTCTATACGTGTATTAAATAGTAAAAATCTTGAATCAAAGCCACTTTGTTTTAAGAATAAGATCACAAAATGTATAAAGTATTAAATATAATATAGAATCGAATTTCAATTCAAGTTTTTCAAAAACGAGATTAAAAAATTATTTTGTAAATGAAAAAAATGTGCATCGAGAGAAGCCAATGTCCATTTAAGTCTATAAAAATTCATTTAATAAACAATATTTTTCGCAAAAGATGAAAATGTCATTGGTTCAAGATTGCTATATACATGTATATACAATTTACATTGATGTTTATTACTTGAAACAAGAATAATCAATATTATTCTGGTGGTTTAGAAGAACATAAGGGAGAAAACATTTCATCTATGGACTCGATATGTCGATTCTTATATCGTCATTTTTAAAGATGTAAAAGAAATTTTCCTTCATTAATCAAAAAGTAATTATTTATCAATAGCGTGTATGAAACACTATATCTTGGGCATCAACACTGAATATTGTTGTAAAAGCGCGAAAATTAACATTTTCACTGATATTTGCGACAGTATTCAAGGACCGGCAATTATACGCAAGTTGTCGACTATGGCAGTGAATTTCATAAGTTCAAACAGTTGGAAGTTGATTTTATTGCAAAATGATTACCGAATAATTAACATTATTAAACATCAATTAAATTGAATATCTTTTGAGCAAAAAATGCATCTATTACTTGTAAAATTTATTTGCAATATATGCGATTTTAAAACTTGAAATTGATTAACTTAAAAGTTAGAGAGAAGGACTTATTCTTGCTACACACAAATCTTTCAATTTTAATTTTACTTCTAAATCTGGTCGATTGTACTAAATTATTGTTTCCACTTTATAAAACCACCGAAAATACGTTTGATTATTCCAATTTCTATATCGATATGCGTACGTATATGTATGCGTGCAATCATATGTGTGTGTGTGTATGCATATTTGTTTGTGCGTGCATAAATTTGCAATAGTATTGTAATATTGCATGTGATTTAAATGGGATTGTCAGATACACATCCATATTGTATTTTCAATGTTTTTGCAGCGATACCGTATAATAATAAACTTTATACGTTTTAAAAGATTTCACCCCCCCCCCCCTCCTTCCAACAATACACACATAAACGCACATTTTTCTTGTAACACGTGAATCTTTGCGGTTTTTTCAGAAAATAAAATATAAAGGAATCTAAATTAATCATACGGATTATAAATTAAAGATAAAAAAGTATCGCAGCAACAAATATAATTAAAGAGCTTATTCATAAATAATACTAAACTCTTGAAAAATATGAATTTAAAGTGATTTGTGTTGGGAAGAAATGAAGTCTTTGTACAAGCTCTTCAATTCACAATAATACGCGAAAGAAAAGCACGTAGTGTTCTGTTAATCAACATTTGTTACAACTATACGATTATTCGCGCATTATTTGCGATCTCATTTGTTGTTTTGCTCGCGACAATATTACAATAGCGCGTGTATTTTTTTTTCTTGTACAATACAAAATAAATAATAATAAGTAGTTCGTGAAGCGAAAGAAACAGCAATAGTATTGACATAAATTAAGAACACGCTTACATATTAATGTACATACATACTGTACTGTGCAGATCATTTCTTAAATGTCTTTATATATTAATGTGGCTCTCGTTGTGCGTATCTTGTAATATAGATGGCTTTTATCTCGCACATATACGTATCGAAAGGAACATATGTATTCTTTTTTTTGTATTCGTAGGAGCGAGAATACATCCGGAACAATGTCAATATAATGGAAAAGTCTGGCGTTTTACTCTACCATGTAAACAACATTTTAATATATATATAATATATAGTTCGTGTGTAGTGCGTACGATTATAATCGCACTTACACCTTACGAAATATTTAAATCTTGGAACATCTACTACCACACATTATAGGTCACACATTCAAGGAAGGCCACATTGAGCTAATCTAACAAGTTACTGCCGAACATTTTAAACGAGTACATCGGCGTCTTCTGCCTAATTATCCGCCTATTTAACTTAAGTTATATACATACATACATATATATATATACATATATATATATATATATATATATATATATATATATGTACGTATGTATGTATATAATAAATAAAATTGTACGAAGAACGATTCTTTTTTTCATCACACTTCTAAACGATGTAATACATCTGAGCAATCTCCTTCTTGTTGTCAACGATTTAAACACGATTGATACTGCTTTCGGTTTATTTGTGTAATGTCGAATAAAAAGCAGATATTTTACACGCGATAGAGATAAACCGATGAAGGATAAAGGGCAGTTTAGCGAATCTTGCATCTAAATCGGTGTCCTCGAGAAGTCTAAAAGTCATGTTACATTGTCGTAAGCATTAAAATACGTACGGTAGAAAACTATGGAGTTATCGATAACCTGTAAAGGTTATTGCATGCGTTCCCAAAATTCCGTTTCACTCTTGTTCATTCGTGCGTGTTACTTTGTGTGTATCGCGAGTAAAAGTCTCGAATTTAATGGGCGGCATTTTGTTTCAACAGTAAAATAATCATAAACACCAGCAAAAGCTTTTCAAAAACGTAATACTATACGTAAGTAAAAAGCTGCTGGACTCGATTTAGTACTTCAAGATGAGCGATACCGAGTGAATTCAGCGCAAATTTGCTAGGTATTGCTTGCATAATCGTCGGTTTCGTCTTTCATTTGACTTTCATTATGAACTTGTGTCTCAAGAACCGGATCCTTGGGAGTCTCGATGACTTTCTTCTCTATATCCAAATCATAGAGTAGGGTAGCTTGGAGCGCGTTATACATACCGGTCCGCGCGTACCGCGACGCCTTTGTCAGTTCGTGAACGCTTCCAGCCAAAGTCAGAATATCTGGACGCACGCACATATACATAATAAATTAAGAGATATTCAAGATATATAGCAGATATATCATACACGATCAGAAGTAATTTGAATCGATGGTAGACCTGACTTTACTCTTTGCGATATATTATTTTTTAGTTTTAATTGTATAACATATATAACATTGGTGTACATATATTTGCAAAGGTTCTACTTTTTCAAAATTAAAAAAAAAGTTAGTATTTTTGCGGTTTTCACGAAAATACACACAATTCAATAAGACTGGAAGCAATTGAAAATATAAAACTTGAAACAAAAATTTTCTTCCAAGTTTTCATCTACAATTTTAGAATTCTCAACAAGTTTTCAAGAGAGAGTTCCACCAAATATATTTAATTAATGTAAATTTTGAAAATTTGTAATAAAAAATAAAAAATTGTTTGGATTATAGTTTTTATCTTCAGGTCATTCTTTTGAGTTTTGAGGTACAGGAGGATAATGATTAACATTCTCGTATGATTATCCAGAAACTAATTAGCCGCATTTCATTTTACCAATTAGTCGAATCAACGCACGTATTAAATCTCCTTATATATATACATGTATATATTCGGATGTTACTTTTACGTTAGTTTTATTTATAAAAACTCTAATTTCATACTTAATACTCACCATTATCATTATATGCTAAGATGCAATGAGGGTTCTCTTTCTGACGTTTGATAGCATTCGCGATCTCTTGCTTACGACATTCTTGAACATATTTAATAGCTTCCAGCCAATATTCCATAGCTTTGTGTACGCGTTGATTCATCGTGGTCCCGCGTAAGCGTTCCATCTATTTTGCAAAGTTGAAAAGAATTATATATATGTATATATTGTGCATAACACATAAAAGTTGTACATACGGATACATACATACATATACATACCTACATACATACATATATATATATAACATGAGAATTATTGTACATGTATGTAAACGATAAATAATTGTAATGATTACAAACGAAAATATTTTTCTCTCTATTTATTAGACAATTGCAAATCATTACAAATTTATTGTAAATTTATGTTTTATTTAATTTTTGTATTATTTATTTCATTATTGTTATTTAAGTATTGTTTTATTTAATTTTTGTATATGTGCAAAAGAAAAAATAAAATAAAAAATAATAATTTGCAATAATCTAAATAGAGAGAATGATAACACGTTTCTCTTTCTTTTTGCGTAGGTTTTTTACTCACCTTTGCTATTAATGTAATAACACGGGCGTGTTCTCTTAAATAATCAATTATCAAGCGATCCACTCTTGATGGATTTCCCTGAAGACGTGGAATAGGTATGTTATTTGCGCTGGTTACTCGTTTTCCTGGAAAATGCGCGGCCAATCCAGCCTCACATTTCTTGCGCTCCTTCTCCAATTGCTTAAATTGTTCGTACGTTTGTTCGAGATTGAAATGCAATATACTCGAAGGACCTGTCTTTCTAGCTGAGCCATTCCCATTTCTAAAATTCAGATTGCCTCCGTAAAGAGCGGAGAATAATCGCGGAACAGGATGAACCGGAACAGAAACCGGCATTGCTGACGGAAATGATCTCACAGTATTTGTACTCGATATCATTCCTGAATTAAAAATAATATCAGGAGGCGGGATCCCGGTTGGAATGCTCTGTATTTTCGATATATGGTGTCGTTGTTTCAAAATATGATTGGACAAGGCAGTGTCCTTGTCCAGTACAGATCTCGCAATACGATCGGTCAACTGACTTGCCGAGGGAAAGGCTATTTCCTTAGCCATGTCAAATCCATCCACATTGTGGTACGCATTGTTCAGTTTAGGCTGCTTCAAGTCGTTGTGATAAAATGCGGAATTTTGTAATATCTTCAAAGTATCGCCACTGCTGGCAGTGTACTGTTGATACTGATGACAACCATATTTGGCGATAGGCTGATACAAGTTACGCGAACTCAGATTCTTTGGAAATCCTATCGGTGAATAGGTTTTGGTTTCGATAAACTTTGATTTTGGATTTATCATCTTCAGTAAGCCATTATCAATTCTACAATCACTAGGGAGACAAACGTTCTCGTTTGTGTCTAAATTACTCGTCGAAGATGCGATAAAGCTATTTGTACCAGAGGGATAATACGTGATTAAGTTTTTGTAATCTTGGTCCACAGCTTGATCCATCAATTTGTAGCTACGAGTTTGCGACTGTTGCAAGAACTGAATCTGCTCGTTGGGTATGCTAATACTCGTCATATTTAATCTAGCGGTATCGTCTCTAGCAAAGTCGCCGCTGCCACTATTGCCTTGTATACCGCTTCCGAAACAAGTGTGTAAAGTTGTCGTATCAGCAGGCGAGAATGGTTGTAACGGCGAGTTGGATAAAAACCCGGAATCGGCGCTTAGATCAGTCATCGCCGAATTGGGCCTATATCCAGAACCAATGTTATTGCTAACATTATACATATCATGCATATTTATAGTATTACTGTACGAGTTGAATGATGCGCTTTGTCTCGTACTGTTACGATAGTCTAACTCGTTGATGGGACAGAATTTGGTGAATCTAAGTGAGTCAGGTTTAACGCGGCGGCGGCAGCGGTCACATTGAAATTAAGATCAGGTTTGACGCAATTTGAGATTCTCGAATAATTTCCAATTATGTCGCCTCTGCAACCCATCGAGGGAGTCACGAATGGTTCCGTCCAGTTGTTCGATTGCGATTTATCGTAATTCGAGCCCGTTGTAGTTGTTGACAACGCATTGCACGACGGCATCATATTCGCGCTCGTGTACATCGTTCCATCGTTCGAATGTATAACGTGAGATCGAGGATCAGATGAATACGATGCTGATGTAATTTCATTGCTACTCTGTTCTATGCTTTGCTCAATACATGAACCGAGATTCAGCGTTTTCAAGTCGTTGCAAAGATTCGTAGGCGCGTGATGATATTCATTCTTGGTATTATTGTAAATATTGTTTGTTAACTTGCCGCATGGATAACGAACTCCCAAATGATGTATATAATCGGTTAGATAAGTATCCGAGCCATCTTCAATTTGATTGGAGCAAGACGTGCTGAACTCTGCTTGGTAATGCGTATTTCCGCTGTTGTAGCTGTTAACGCGACAAGTATCGCTAGTAATGGAATCTTCATCGAGAATTTTTGATACCAAATCGTTAACCATTGGATTATTCAAGTCTTGACCATCTTCATCTTCAAAGTTATTCATCTGAAATAAAGACAACCGTGCAACTGACAAATTATGCATTAAATGATGGCGATGACAATATAAATTTGCAATAAATAATGTATCATATTGCACATGTGTATGTGTGTGTATCGAGGGAGGGGGAGAGAAAATATGCAATATGCAATTTTTATACATATTACTTACATTTCTTTTCATGCTGCAACCTGTTAAGTCGTAGCTCCATTGATTGTAGTCCACACTATGCATGCCCTTAGAGTAAATCTTTCGTGGTACTTCCAACATACTGTTACTGTGTTCGGTCTCGTTATTCTTCTACATATGAAAACAATTGTCGATGTAACATTTCAGACGAGCTTGTTTGACATGCATTTAATAAAATGATACGCGTAATTTAATGATGTAAAGATGGTTTGTCATGATTGTAACAACTTGAAACAAATATAAACATTTCGAATATTGTATTTTATCAGATTAATGACGATGATAAAGGAAGTCAAAATGTAAATCGAGCAATGTATAACTATCGATTGTTTTCAAAGGACACAACCCCCCATTGCGAGACGAAAAGTTTAGTGTACATGAAAATATAACGCGAAGTCGAGTAGGTGTAACATAAATAAGTACGTAATGATTGATAAAGTAAAATGTTGAGAAAATCTTGGAATATGGAACGCGAAGAGCAACTATTATCAACAACGTAATAATCGTTGTCACACGATCGTGGCTGCACCGCGGCGGACAGATCCACTCCAATAATATGCGCGAATATACATACATATATATAATATACATTACATACATACGTACATACATGCATACATACATACATACATATATATATATATATATATATATATATATATATATATATATATATATATATATATATATATATACATGTATTACTATCGTTGGGACAAGTGATGGCAAACGTGGGAGATTTTATTGTTACTATTTGCACTTTTCCAAGCAAAACGCGGGAAACTCACGAGAAATTGTCATTTTTACGTTTAATAACCGCTTTGAACAATTGCGGATCGCATTCTTCTTCCTTCTTTCTCGGATGATACTAATGTATCTGTTCTTTCCAGTTACACTTTCTTGCAAATTCTCTCCTTTTTTTCTGACAAAGTATACATCCGCGCGCTCGCTTACTCACACACATTCAAATATACACACGCGCGCGCATTATTATGTGTATCATACATGAAAGTGTAATGTAACTAAATGGATCAAATCTAGGATACATATTTCATCGAAACGCCAAAAAAGACGAAAGGAAATGTTGATTTATCAAATGAATAGCGATAGAGAACTATAAAGAGCCACACATAAATACATAACATACATGTATATATGTATTACATACACACATCCACACACAGATGTATATTAACTCACCTTATTAACGGCGAAAACATTGTTGTCGACAATCGCGGTTAAATTGTGCACTTCGGACAGAGCCATTCGTTAAAAAAAATCTCGGACAGTCACTATCATCACCGATATTACTCCATTGCCATTCGCCATTACTTTTTCAGCCCTCTTTTGTACAGGAATCAGTTTCAACCATTTAAATCAGTTCCTAAGAAAATTTTAATCAATCCTAATCGTCACTATCAACGACTGTCGCTCGCATATTTTGCGTGCACTCTAATACACCCACTTTGACGCACGTCGACCAACACCGCACTGACCTACATGAATCTCAAACCTCGAACCGCAACACACATATAGATTCGGCATCATAGTGTGGTTTATGAGTTTTTTTTTATTCTGTAGATAGTCTAAAGCCCGTATCAGACTACGGATTAGGATTAAATTGAAATTTCACCAATCAGAGCAAAGTTTACAAGCTTGAGATTAGTTTTCTTGATTCTGATTGGTTATATTTCAATACAATCTCAATCCTAATCCATAGTCTGATACAGGCTTTATTGCTTGTTTTTATCATGGCCTTTGGCTGAAATTGTCAGTAAATGTATATTTCTCTTCTATACGTGCTTTCAGATTCATGCATGATGCGCATGAAGCGACAAAAAATCTATAATTTGTGTAATGAGACCTAGAGTGCGCTTCATCTCCATAGATTTTATGGAGCGAAATAGCGCAACGCACGACAACGCAATCGTGAGCGTTGGAATCATTCACGAAAATTGTAAAACATTCTCAATTGGTTGCTCTTATTTCGCTTTTTAGGGATCGCTTTAAAACTTTTTCAGTGTCAATATTTATTACCAAGATCTTTAAAATCCAATGAAGATCTATTATTTCTTTCCTATAAATAGATGTTCTCTATAATAATAAAGCTCGTTCAAACTATCTTTTATATCAACAGCAGCTCTGTGACAATATTGCTTTCTTGGAACTGCTTTATCTATACTTGGTTGCCATCTTCTGTATGATAAAATATTATATATATATATACACATATAAATTTAAAACACATTCTATACATTAGTCCTCGCTTTTTGAAATATGTAGATAAGATAGTAATTGTAAAGTAACCAAGTACCTTGCCAACTCTTTGATTGTGCTGACATCGATAATTCTGTAGTGTAAATAATTATCGATCAATGGCATATATTTCCTGAGGAAAATACGATCCATGTAAACCGAATTACCAGCTAGTGGACACACTTCCTTTGGAACATGGTTCTCCAAATATTGAAGCATTTTTTGTTGAGCTTCCTCCAATGTAATCTTACTCGAGCGACAATCTTCGATTAAGCCAGTCTAAAATTTATTTTAATAATTTATGAATAATTAATAATAGTTACACTATGAAAGGAGATTACCATTCTAAAAAGATTAAATTGCCTTTTTATGTTGTACTTTGCACCAGTCAGACATGTTTTCCAAAATTTCATCCGATTGATGTATAATAATGTTTAAGCAATCGCTCACAGGCCTTAAATGTTCATCGGTTATTAAACATGCGAGTTCTAAAATATGACACGTTTCCACTTCTAAACCTGTCATCTGGAAGATTTGTTCTTTTCAATTCTTTTCATTAGTTACTGTTAAATAATGTGAAACAATTTTATACCTCCATATCAAGCCATACAATGTGCTTCTCATTTTTACTACTTCTTTCCATTGCTGTTGAAATGACATGATCTGTACAAAATCATTTACCTTTTTAATTTGTTTCAAGTTTCATATATAATTGTTAGGCGAAAATGCTAGTTGTATGTACAAGATGTACCTACACATAGTGAATATATGTTTACATATAAATATAATAAAGAGCAAAGCATTATAAAATTCAAGATCTTGTATGTATGTATATACAACTATCATGTCGCATTTGTCTGATAGTTAATATATGTATATATACATATGTAGATATATATATATATTTTTTGACTGTATATTTATACAATTACATATAATTACTATTATTTAAATAACGCTGAGCACCAGGATACATATACTTCGAAAAATATTTAACAACACGTTTTATAGTAATCATACTTATATCCATACATAGTCCATAGACATATTAAGATAGACTGAGAAGAAAATTAAGGCCCTTGCACAATGCCAAGCAACAGGAATAGGAATAAGAAATAGAAAATATCCACCAATAGGAGCAGAGAATAATATCTATCTTCTTTTCCGATTGGTTGATATTTTCTATTTCTTATTTTATATTTCTATTGCCTGTTGCCTGGCATTGTGCAAGGGCCTCTATTCAAATAGAAATAGAGAAAGAAATAAATTGATAAAAGAGAAAAGGATATGAGCTGTCTATATATCTTTTTTTTTCATGCCTGAATACTGATTTATATAATTTTTTTCGAGAACGAAAACGTGAAACAATAGAACCAGTAGTTGCATACTCTACTCTTTTTCGTTACTTCTGACGAAATAAAATTTATTGCCAACTTGACCATTCGAATCAACTCGAAGAAAATCGAATATCGAATTCCGATGTATCGCCCTTGATGTTCGTCTATGTATTTTACACATCCATAGTCATAGTTTAATTGTGGATACTCGAGAGAACTCGAGTAGAATTTAAAAAGTGTACGTAATAACATTTGTGCGTCATATTATTTAAATATTGTATATTGTAATTGTTTGCATTAAATCAATTAATTTAAACTTTTGTCATCTGAGAATAAAAAATTTGGATAACCTATTAAAGAGACCTGCCAAAAATGAGATATTTTCAGATGTAATATAGAAACATTTAATTATTAGAATTCTACCACTTTATAGAAATTCACAGTTTTGTATTCATTATTGAAGAGCAATTGTATCAATTATGAATGAAACTTTAGAAACACAAAATAAAGACTCTGTCATAAGTGAGCAAGAACGTGATTTAGCACAAAATGCATTATCGGAATTTCAAAAAGGGTCTTATGCCTCATGCTTATCTTACTTAAATAAGTTAGAAAGCCTCCGGCCTATGGATCTCAAAGTTACACACAACAAGGTTGTGGTGGAATATTATAAAAGTGATTTGAAAAAGACCGAGTTAATGCGAAAAAGTTTAATTGCTATATGTGGCCAAATATCAACAGATTCCAATGAGGCCATAGATGATGTTGAGAAGTGTGTTATGAGATATAATCAAGCTGTTTTATTGTATCATACTAAACAATACAATGCTGCGCTTCAAATCATGACCAGGCTATTTGCCTTTATCGAGCCAATGGGTTTGTATAATTATGTTTTTCAGTAGAAAAATTGGATGTTGTAAGAAAGATAAAAAATTAATATTTATAATATATAGAGTAAATGATTGACATATTGTTTGATATAAATAAAGCAAATGTTTTCTTTCGACATTATGCATATATGTGATTTTGTATGTATATAATTATACACATATACATATATTCATATACATATATTCTTTCTTTCTGATTGTAGAAGAAACCTTAGCAAATAAAGTTTGTCTCCTACTGATCGAATTATATATAATAATGGAACAACCGGATCCAGCTCTTTCAATATTAAATTATGTCGAAAGTCAGTATGTATCTATCGATGGTTCTAAAATATCATCCGTTGACAAGGACGGAATAATAAAGTCTAAAATAAAGGAGCAAAAAGAACAAAAGAAAGACATCAATGATACAGTGATCGATGCATTCAAGATTAAACTCTTAAAATGTAAAGCAAGAATATATCTTTTGACTCATCAATTGAAACTCTGCAAAAAAGAATGGAAAACATTAGTTTCGCTGGGCACAATAGTGGTAACATCATTATTTATTATAATAATATACTAGAATGATTCATTAATTTATTATGGATAGATTAATAAATGGATCAATAGATTGAGAAGTGTAGGACAGATTTATGTTTATTTAGAATCCATATTGATTTGATAATTTAATCGATGGTATTATATATTGCAATTTTTACAAATTTTAGAATTATATATCATTACGATCAAACCAAATTAAATTTTAATTATTGCAAAGATTATGTTTTTTGCAATTAAAATAAAAATAAAAAGATATTTGTACAGAAATCTTTTTTGTGCACACAATTTTATTATAAAAAAGAACTTTGAATGTAGATAGTAAATTTCATCTTAGATAGGACAGGATGATAGGATTTGTGCTAGTATGCATATATATCGTGAGTGTGCAAATACTTGTTTATTTATTGTAAATATTGTACAAAATTGTACACCTACATGTATACAATATTATATATGGCATTTATTATTTTTCCATATAATATTTTTGATTAAATTTATAAATACATATTTTCACACGGATTTATTAAATTACTCTATTATTTCTAGAATACATCAACCATTTTTTTAAAGGCTAATCTGGAGTATTTACGAGGAAATTACAAGAAGGCAATGAAATTGTTGAATTCCGCAACAATAGAAAGACATTTAGATTACAAGTATGTTACAAATATTATTAATTAAATCATATGTGCATGAAAACAAAGTCTCACAAGAATCTTAATTAAACGTTCTTAATATTAATTATATAAAGTTAAACACTAATATAAATGTTATGCATTTTGAATATTTTCAACACTACAAGTGATATAATAATTGTACAATAGGAAAAAGAATATTCAACATATATTAGCAAGAAATTCCATAGGGTTAAAATATGACGAGATATATAAAATACAATAAAAAAAGACGAAACACATAAAATTAGCATATTTCATGAATCTGTAGATGAAATTGGAATCCCTGAAAGATTTTGTGCAACTTTGTGTGTGTATGATGGAAATCATTTTTATCTTTAAAATGTAACAATATGTGTGTGTGTGTGTGTGTATGTATATATAAGTAAATAAATTGTCAAATTGTCTGTATTCTTCTAAAACACATTGCATTAATATGTAAATTACAGATTACATGGAGAATCTTCGGCTGTTTTATATTATAACAATATAGCATGCTTATACTTTGCAATGGGCAAACCAAATTTAGCTTGTCTTTATCTTCAAAAAGCTTTACATGAAAACAAATGTGCAGTAGAGAGTGTACAAGTCAAAGACAGTGGTAATTTATATATATATATATATATATATATATATATATATATATATATATATACATATATGTATATATGTATATATATATATATATGTATTTGTATATTTATGTAGGTGTAAATAAGCTGTTATATTTAATATAATTCATATTGTTCTGGTTGATTGCATTTTACTCATTTTTATTTATAAAATAAGCAAGTATATAGAAATTTTTAATATATTGAAGTATGATTTTTACAATCTCTTATTTCTCGAAACATTTATATAATGAAACATTTTTCTTGATAATATTGTCAATTATTTATACAACTGTCATTAAAAATAAAAACTTATTTTATGCAGATCCTTTATTTTCTCAGTCGCTATACACACTTGGTGGCGATAAACATTACGAGCTGATGTACAGTTTGGGTGTATCGTTATTGCATGCTGGTAAAGCATCAGAAGCCTTTGATCGCTTTACAGAAGCTGCACAAAAGTTGCATAATAATCCTAAACTTTGGCTCAGAATGGCAGAATGTTGTATCTCTAACCACAAGGATGTAAGTATATATGATATCGATTTTTATATTGTATTATAATATTTTGATAGTGTGTGACTGTTTATATATTATTTAATGAAAATGTGTGTGTGTGCATATATATATATATATATATATATATATATATATGCACACACACATTTCAATAAATAATATGTACACAGTCACACACTATCAAAAACATATATATATATATATATGATTAAATATGTTGTGCTTAATGTAATGTAAACAATATAATTTAATATATTTTTTAGTCAAACAAAGTGGATTTTGATCCAAAGCGACGCAAAGATTTAGTGCAGAAAGTTATAGGTTCTGGTATTCATAAGAAAATCATATTGGCCGCATCTCTTTCAAAAAATGTTAATTATCATTCAGAAGGCCTATCCTATGCAATTCCACAACCAACATTGGAGTTTGGAAGTTTATGCCTGAAGAATGCATTAAATTTATTACCAAATAATAATGAGCCCAATTTGCCTCAAACGGCTATAATAAATTCACAAACAGTGACAAGTACACTACCATTAACATCTAGTCACAACTTGGGTACACATTATAATTTACAAACATATTATTTTATATGCCTCTTTCTATCTTTCCGCTTTTATACTCTCTTCCCTTTTCCTGTCTTTTTATGTGTGTTTATGTGTATAATAATCTTTCATACAATTATTTTAGGTATGCACCATGCAACATTAATGTCCCAAGCTACTATTATCGAATCTTTTAATTTGAAAATTAGTGTATTAGCTGCTAGTGCATATATTTCTTTGTGTCTTGGAGATTATATACTTTCGCTCGAACATGCAAAGGCTTTACTAAATTTTAATAAGTTACCTGGAGCGTATAAACTGTTGGGTAATTTATATGCCGCCGAAAGTCTGATCTTTATGGATAGAATTAGCGAAGCACTGGAGTATCTCAAGTTGGAAAATCTTCAAGATTTGCATACAACTATATCAATGCCAGAAGTTCAAGAGAAAGATAAAGAAAAAATGGAGGAAGTTACAGCAAAGCCTACAAAAGGTGAATTAAGAAAATAATGTTTTTCCTTTTTATAAATTTTATATGAATTTTTTGTTTGAAAGAAAGAAAGCAACAGTTTTTCTTTATTTTTTAAAATTTTGATAGATTTAAAGCTTTGAAATAAAAAAACAATGTGTTTTTTTCAACAACAATTTCAAACAATTTTTTTATTTTGAAAAGTTTTAAAGATTAAAAAAAATTTGTATAGATATATATATATATATATTTTTTTTTTTTCAACTTTTTTATTAGTAAACATTTTTTTGTTTATACTGGAGTTTTCTCAAAATGTAATAATTTATAATATAATAATTCTATGAACTAATAATAATTTTATTGTTAGTAATAAGTTATAGATAAATTCCTTGTCACTTTAAATTGTAGCATGGTATCCTACTACAGTTTCTACCGGCATTGCTGTGTTACATTACAATTTGGCTGTAGCTTACGCCATACGAGGTGAACTAGATAAATCTGGAAAAACTTTAAAGCAAGTAAGTGTATATATATCAAGTGTATATTTATCATGGGGCATGTTTCGATATTACTGAAAATATATATAATATACTATGTAACATAAACTATAGATTTTCAGTATTAACAGTGTATATGGAAACATGCTCATAACTAATTTAATCATTTAACATTAAAGGCATTAGAATTAAAAAGAATTTAATTATTATTGTTATTTGAAAAAGATCTCTGACAAACTAATATACTATAATTATTAATATTATTATTTAACATTAATATAACATTAATATTCGACAAGATAATTTTTATTAATCTTATATCTGAAAAATTGTTTCAACCTTAAGAGATCTATACATTATATATATATATATATATATATATATATATATATATATATATACAATTATATAATAATATAATATAGTATAAGCCTATACACTTTAATTAAAAAAAAAAAAAACATTAAATCTAATTTATAATGATAATATTATAACAAAGAATAGAAATTGAAAATTATGTGTGCTAAATTCTTAATATTTGTCTTTATTCCTACTAAATTAATTCCTTTTATTCTAGATATGGACGTCTAAAGAATCAGATTGTGATATACCTATACAAGTGATAATGCTAGCTTTGTACATAGAGCTACAATTAGGTAATATCATTTTTCAGAATTAGCATAAGTCTATATAAAGTTTTAAAGAATAATTTTATATATATATATATATATATATATATATATGTATACATATATAAAGTTTTAATTTTTGATAAGAAATATTGCATACTTTAGATATATTTATGATCGAATATTGATGTATAATTACAAAATATATTGTCTACAAATTTTTAAAATTCCAGGTCGTGCTGACACTTCAAAGTCAATAATAAAACAACATTGTCCACAATATCGTTAACAATCAAGATATAAAATATATCTCCAAAAAGCTACAAATACTAATATTCATAATGCGCGCGCATACATATGTATATAAATTAAAAATAAATTGGTTCTCAAGGTAATAATGTATGTGAAAAACTTGCATAGTAGCAAAAATATATTTGAAGCTAATGACACAGAATAATCTAAATTGAAATGTTGCAGCAATAAATCATTATCTTTCTAAAAATATGAGAATACAATTTACGTGACAAAAAAAATTTGTAAAATATTTTCTATATAAATCTCTTAACAATGTCTGTGTTATATAAAGTACCGAAATTAAATGTACAGATTGAAAATTTTAAGGGAAGACACTGGTAAAAATCTGTTTAAAAGACAAACATTTTGTATCTTTTTGCATTATATTAAAAATTTCAGTAAATTTGTCTGCTACATCATTTTCTTTTTTTCTCTTTTCTATCAATTTCTTTCTCTTACTAAAAAAAGAGTTGTAGGTAAATCACTTGGAAAATTACATATACACATGCATGTGCTCGCGCGCGCACGGGTGTGTAATTTATTTTATACATATTTCTTCTCTCATGTCTTTCTCTTTTCTCCTTCGTCAATTTTTAGAGACCAAGGTTATCATCCCGTCTTTTAAAGCAATCCAGTTTGATGCGACACTGACGAGTCGAGAAACCGAATCCTTTCATTTCGACGACTTGTGGATTGTTTCGTCCTTCACGGCCATATATGCGTGATACCAGCCGCACTTGACCTATATATTGTTATGCCGTTGGCGTACGGATGCAATCGTTTGTATGCGCGAAAATGCCCGTAGGGCCTTACCCAAGATTGAGTCTGGTTCGTCGTCGTAAGTTCTGTTCTTTCTGTCGGAGCATCAAACCGATAATCTTTCACGGATGTGGAATACTGCCAAGTGCTAATTACGATTAACATGATAGAACTTTGTTCACAAGACGGGTATTTATATACTTTAATCTTTATAAAATTAAAATCTTTATAAAAATAAAACCTTTATATAAAATACCCTTTATAATGTATGTATAGTGTATGTACAGTAATTGTTTTAAAATATGTGTATCACAATTATACATGCTTTACATTGCAAGCTACACATATTTAACACACTTTGTAAATTGCTTTGTATAATACCAATTATAAGATTTGTAGGATTAAAATTATTTAATAAACTTTTATTTATTTATAATAGAGAAATTGCCAATATAAAAAAATTACTAAAAAAAGAAGTACATTTTATAAATTGTATAAATAAACTTTCATTAGACGATTATCAATGTCGCATAGTAAGATACAAAGTGTATAAAGGGTTAATATAAATCTTCCATTTTCTCCTTCGCGTTCAAGGTTTATGCAAGTATACCCTTCGATCATTTTCCGAATACCTTATTTTTGACTGGCATTCAAGAAGGCCGCGAGATCATTGTAGCTTTGCCTCGCATCGTGTTTGGCCGACCGTGGCTATAAAATGAATCACCAGCAGCATAGGAGGTCAGTACGCGACGCGAGTATATTTGAGAGAGTACTCTTGCGTAAATTTTTATATCTATATATAATACATATATATTTCGTAAAAATTTATATTTTTTCACAATTGTAATTAAAATGTACGAGTACTTTATTACAGAGAAGAAGAGAATTTATCAGTGATATTTTTAAATATGTCCAAGGGATGTAAAAACATTTAAAATTTGTAGAAAGAGTTATAATTGAGAGTACGAAGAAAATGGTTTGTTACTCTTATTAACATTATAAATAATTTTGGGAAATAGCCATTTTATATAATTTGATAAAAATGGAATTGGGAGCGCAACAAGAATCGAAAAACGAGATGAACAGTCTATCGTTTTCACCTCCGCCTATGAAAAAGTCTGAAACGAGAGACAGTATTTCCTCCGTTGACAGTGACGTGAGTCTTTCCTTTGATAGAAGAGGCTCCAAGAGCGAAGAGGCTGACTTATCGGATTATGATAGCGAAATGAGATCTGCGAAAGGGATTGATGTGGAACAAGATTCGGGCGCGGATTCTATGAATGATGCCACACTGGAGAAACTAGAAAATGAGAAACAATCGGAATCTCGGCTAATTGAGAAAATAACGACACATGATATCGACACATTGAATGATGATCTGGCTGATAAGATATGCGCTCAAGTGGAATTTTACTTTTCCGACGAAAATATTATAAAGGATGCGTTTCTGCTGAAACACGTGAAAAGGAACAAAGAAGGCTATGTATCTTTGAAATTGATATCCAGTTTTAAGAAAGTAAAACACCTGAGCAGAGATTGGAGAGTGGTTGGAGTAGCTTTAGCAAAATCTAAGAAACTCGAAGTTAATCCACAAGGGACTAAATTGCGTAGAGTAGATCCTTTACCACCTTTTGATCAGACGACACGTTCTAGAACTATATTAGCGGCCAGATTACCGATAGAAAAGTTGACAGTTGAATCTGTCGCCGAGATTTTCAAATCTTGCGGTGAAATAGCGTTGATAAGAATTCTTAGACCTGGACACCCTACACCTTCCGAGGTAAAGTGTGCTTGATTTTTTCGATCGAACATATATTCCAGAATAGAATACAGATATAAATAGGAGTTTTAAATCTCTGAAATATGCGTTAAAGAATAAAATTATTATATTTCTTTTTGTCTAATTCAATTATAGTAACTTTATTTAGAAACATGGATATCCATACAACTAGATGGTCGACTTTAATTTTTTCGAATATTTCTGAAGAAAAATGAAATAAAAAAGTTTAAACAAAAGTTGTAGGTTTTAAAGGGAGATAATAGTTGTTTGTCATAAATCTGCCCTCACTAGTCAAATTTTTCATAATTGCATTGTATAGTGACGTAATCTGCAAGGATTATTATTGTGATATAATGTGCTTGTATAAGTTGTAATCTTATATTCAACGTAGCACTCACGCTAGCAAGTTATAAGTCGATACGTAAAAACTAAAACATAGGGTTTCCACTGCAGTGATTATTCAATATATTCGCAATTCTTACATGTTGTCAATCAAGACATTATTTTATATAATTTTAATTTACTTTTTTTACATATTAAGAAAATCATATTTAATAATTTTTTAAACAATAATAATTAATAATAAACTGTATTTTACATTATCCGTAAATTATTTATTTTTTAAATTTAATTTGCAATTTAGTTTAATGGGTAATTTATATTTAATTTGTATGATACATGTTGAGTATTGCATGTTACATTTCTCGCGCAAATGTCATCTTATATAGCTAATATATCACAATAATTAATACTGAAAATGACGTCGATAAAAAAAATTGGACATATAAAACTTATAACGTAAATGTTTCGATATATCAATATTCTCGATAATAATGATATTAAAACAAGGAATAAAACTGGCAATAATTTTCTTATACACGTGCGCGGACACACACACACACACACACACACACATACGCATAAACACAAACATACACGCACAGGTGCGTCAAGCAATCTCCAAAAGGCCGGAATTGGCTTCCAACGAAGAGTACGCCATGGTAGAATTTACAGACTCCATTTCTGTCCAAATCGCTATGCAAATGACCTTGGGTGATGCGAAAATATACGAGTTACATCAATTGGCTGATAAGAAGAGGAAACACCAATCCACGAGGAAAGGTGTTTTAAATAGAATATCCAGAGAGAACAATATATATTATAATTCATCCAGTTGTCCCAGTGGATCTGAAACTGAAGATGGAAAAGCAAGGTATAAGAAAAATATTGAGGGACATTCGACGTATCATATACATAGGAGTTATCCTTCCCAAGGTATTTTATATAAATATATATTGGGTCGAGTCTTAAGTCATTTCGGTTTTTTACTATAATATTATGATTCATACTATGATTTATTCATTCAAAGGCGATTTTTTTTGAAGTAATTTTATTCAGTTATGTATCGACTATTTCTTTCGACGACCTTTTGCCATCTTTCATTCGGGTAACATCATGATGCCACGCTCAAAGAACTTTTGGCCTTTATCAGCAAAAAACTATATACGCAGATATACAGTAAATCGAAATGATTTAAGACTCAATCCAATATATAATATAGTAAAAATATAAAATTATATATAATAAGAGTAACAGTATAAATAGTAAGATATAATAATGATAAAAATAGTAAAATAAATTATGGTTGTAAATAATATTTATTTAATATTATATTAATCGATTTATACGTTTGCTATTAGGACCGCCTTCACCGGACGTATGGTTATCTCGTAAACTCTCTTCCTGCTCTATATCCAATTCTGACAACGGTTTTATATTTCGACGGCTGTCTTCATGTTCCGGATCTAGTTCAGATTCTGGTAGACGTTATTCCACGTGTTCATCCGGTTCCGAAGCAGCTTTCTTTCATCCAAGTTATTCGAATACCTTCAATCATCATCATGAAAATCGCCGATATTCTTGCTGTTCATCAACAGGTTTGTATATGTGTAATCGCAATGTATAATACAAGTGTCACGAATAAAATACAAAAGAAGCGAAGTCGAAAAAATTATGGAGATTGAAACACTTTTGGTTAAGAAATTATCAGAAATTATATGTGTTAAAAGTTGCGTGTTATCAGAATGGAGTATCAATCGCATGGTAATCACACTTGTTTTCCTTCGTGGTATATTGTATCGTGTGAACGTAACTTCTATGTTAGATAAACTGCAAGTAAAGTAATAAATATTTTTAAAGATTCAATATAATTATATAATTTATGACATTGTTACCTATTATAGGTTCTTCTATGGAATGCGGAAGAGATTGTTATATCGCAAATCGTCGCGGATCAGCTGATTGTGGATCATTTTTTAGAAGATTGTCGATGTGTAATCGTGATATTGGCTACGATACTAACATGAGAAGATTGTCTCTGTGTTCTTCGAATTCAGACCAGAATGGATTTTATCGATCAAAAAGCAATAATGGTATCGCGATGATGCATTTACCCGAGAATGTAACAAGAATGCCAGCAGGACCCGACGGCACTCGTGGCTTTTTCGATCGTTCCACAAGAATATTTATAAAACCTACTTGTTGAGTGCTTTAGATAACTCTTATAAGATTAGAAAGATTAATAGTTGATACATATGTAACATGATTTTTTTTTTTTTTTTAACAATCAATGCAATATATAATAAAACAAATGTTTGAAAATAATAACGAAACTTGATCGTCGATAACATATTATAATTTTATTCGAATAAAATACATTTTTTTTTATTTGTGTTAATTCTATGCTTTTCAGAAGTATATATATTTAAAAATTGTTAGATTATTAGTGTGGATCATAAATTGTAAACGTTGAAAGATAATTATTATTATATTGTAAAAAATCGGGATATAGAAAAGAAAGGTTCTATATTGCTCTTGTTTGAGATTGTTTAATTAAAAAATTTTAAAGATGGAAGACATAGTATTATACTATCATCTTTATGATCTGCAAATAATAATCAGATACAATTTTAATCAGATTCAATAAATTATTTATAAAATATATATTAAGATATATATTAATATATATTAAAATATATATCTCGAAAAGAGGGCTATTCTGCTAATATCTTTTATATTTTTTACCAGGCTCTTTTACTTTTCGAAGAGTTTGTATCGTTAATTGCGATAATAATTTTATGATTACTTTAGAATCATTATTTAGATATTGTAAATCATGTTTATTTGAGACGTCTTCTCCTATATTTAAAAAAAAAAAAAAGTGATCTGTATTTTTTTTTTTTTTTACTGTTATTGAATAAAAACTATTCGTAAATATTTATTAATATTATTAAAATAATCTTTTATTGTTTAAAAACTCATTAATTTAATAAATGGAAAACATTTTTTTTTTTTTTTTTTTAACGATAAAAATTGTTATTGTTAACAAAAAAATATTAATTTTGTTGTAACAATTAAAAATCAAGTTAAATCTAAACCAAATCGATAATAAAATCATTATTACAACATAGTATCTTTAATTAAGTAAAAGTTGTAAATAACTTCTTTAATCTTGTTGTAATTGTTGAAAAGTATGGAGAATAATATATTAACCGTTATGAAACGTTATGATGTTAAATGGATCAATAATAGAAAGTATAATAAATAAGGTGACAATACTTGCTGCATACGTTTTCAAATATGTAGGAAAAAAAAAAAAAAAAAAAAAACCAGGTTCCATCGATCATTTATTTATGGTAAATTTAACAATATTATGACAAAATATTAATAAAATATAAAATGTTAAAAACGTAACCTGATCCTAACAGTTATAAATAGCTACAAAATAAATTAAAATGATAAAAATAATTTGAATGGCGTGACAATTGTTGAATACTTCTTTACTTATGAAATTAACAAAAATTACATTGAATCCAATCTTAAATGTTATTAATATAAAGTAAATTAATTAACAATACAAAAAAATCTCTAATAAAATAAAAAAAAAAAATTATCTTTAATTTAAATTTTTTTTTTTTTTTTTTTTTTTTAAGATCAGAAATTAAGTTTCTATATAAAAAATTGTGTTTTAGCACTTGATAAAAGCCAAAACCCATGGCCGAAACGTCGTGAATATTAAATAAAGATCATTAAATAGCCAGAGTTAATTGATTAAGGGGTAACACCACTGTAAAATTTTCAAAAAATCGATTTTTTTTTTTTTTTTTTTGGGCTTAAAAAATCCTTTGAACCCTGTAGAATACGAGGAAAAACTTTTATACGTGAAACTTTTTTTTTTCATCGAAATTCCTAGCTATGTACTGAACGAGTCGGGCGACTCCGAAACGGCTACCTGCTTCGGGTGGAAACCTGTCGAGAGAGTAGTGCATAATACCTTGCTTATTGATTTCTAAGTTATGTGAGACACTACTAGATGAAATATATCTAGATATATGAAATATATCTAGATATATCTAAAATATATCTAAAATATTTCTAAATATATCTAAATATATCTAAATATATCTAAATATATCTAGATATACGAAATATATCTGGAAATGGAAATTGCGTCGAAGCATATAATTTTTGCATCGAAGATGCAAAACGAATCAAGCATTATCAGATGCAGCGCGCGCTCTGGCATAACATCTGCGAGGCGAATATTTAGCAGCGTGCCCTAAAAGCGAAAAAAAAAAAAAAAAAATTTAGTACAAAATATCAACAGTTTTTTACTGTACCAAATTAAGTACAACGTGGAATTTTGATACGTACCCACTTAAATGATTTATTCACGAATCCCCAAGGTATTGGTTATGAAGATCATGACAAATTTTACACTTTTTTTTTACTCACTTTGCCATTTATATTTTTTATGATTTTACTTTTTTATATTTATTTTTCTTTTTTATTTTTTGTTTTTTTTTTTTTTTTTTTTTTTTGGTGTTACTTTTTACTTATGTAATTTTAATTTTTTTTATTCTTCTTTTTTATATTTTATATATTTTTTTTAATTTTTTTTTTTTTTTTTATCTTTTTTTTTTTGTTACTTTTTTTGTTACTATTTTTTTACTTTAATTGTTTCTTTCTACTACTTTTTTGCTACAAAGTCACTGATTAATTTCTTAGAGATTGTTAGATCACTTTCAATTGTCAGAACTAGAAACCACATTTTTTAATTTTTACATCAACCAAACTAGTCCTTAAACAGTTTTTGATTCTTTTTAGCGGCGTGCTAGAGCCGGCGTGCAGACAAAATTCGACAAGCTATATCGACATTTGATATAGAATGTATATTTCGAGTTCGAAGAAGTTTATTATAACTTAAAAGGGAATGTCTTTTATTTTCGAGTATATTGGTACTTTCCAAATACGCTCGAAAATGTAGGCATTCGTCAACAAACGATTCTTCTAAATCTAAAGGGTAATACTGTTGTAATTTTTTAGCCTTATTTATTAAATCCGCAGTTGATATCGAAGTAATTTTAGATAACCATTCAAATCTTTCAAAATATCTTTATATGCATTACCTCTACGTTCTAATTCTGAACTTATACGGTCTATTATAACAAAAATGTATCTCGTCTAAACTGTTCTTTACCACAGATTTGTGACATTTCTGTTTCAATTTCCGATATCTCATCAAATGGAAGTTTACGCTTTCTTTTTCGTCTTGTGTCGAATTCATAATCTTCGACTTCAGATTTTTCCTTTGCTTTCTCTTCAAACATATCAAATAAATTTCGTAGTGAATTAATGTATCCTGTTAATGAACTATAAAGTTCCACAACTGTTTGTATGTCAATATCAACACTTTGCAATTTTTTGCTAGTTATTTGAAATCGATCCATTATTGAGTTCCAAAATACAGCCATAAAGACAGTTTCAAATCGACTCATTTGTTTCAATAGTCCTGCAGCTTCACTACGAGTAGCCGGTTTCTCGGCAGTATTTAAATTTATTGTATTTAAAGCTTTAATTATGGAATCCCAGTTTTCAACTAAACTGCGAGAAGCTTCCGCTCGAGATGACCATCGAGTATCAGACATTCTTTTTATTACTATATTGCCTGGTTTTAAAGTGGATAACAATATCTCCCACCGGTGAGTTGACGCAGAAAAAAATGTGTAAAGATGCTGGAGAATTGAAAAAAAATTACATGCTTCATGACAACTTTCTGCTGCGCATACGCCAATCAAATTTAAAGAATGCGCAGAACATGGCACGTATAGCGCATATTGATTTTTATTTTTTATTCTTGCTTGCAATCCATTATATCTGCCAGACATGTTACTGGCATTATCATAGGACTGCCCTCGGCAGTTGGCAATGTCCAAATCATAATTAAGTAACGTAGAAAAGACAGCATCAGCTAATTGTTCAGATTTATGACCAGTATTTGGTAAAAAACAAAGAAAACGTTCTACCGGCATACCATCATTGTCGTTTACATATCTTAATATAAAAGATAATTGATCAATATGCGATATATCGGGAGTTGAATCAACGCTAATTGAAAAATATTTGGCTTTCTTTACTTCTGTAATAATTTGTGCACGCACTTCTGTTGCCATCAATTGTACAAATTCATTGCACGTTTGAAAAGAAAGATAAGAGACTACCCCGCGACCTGCATTTCCATATTTTTTTATATGGTTAGCTAAAAATGGATCAAATTCCGCTATAAGTTCAATTGCCATCATGTAGTTACCATTATGAAGTGACCCAAATTTTTCATCCTTGCCTCGAAAAGCAAGTCCTCTACTCGAAAGTTTTTTCACAACTGACACAACTCTTTTCAATACATTTGTCCAATAATTTATTTCTTCTTGCAATTGAAATTCTAAATCAGCATCAATTCTCTCAGAAATCTTACTTCTTTTTAGCATTTTAAGTTCACATGTTTTGTGCTCAGTTGAATTTTCATGTTCGCGCATTCGAACGAAGACATTTTTCCAGTCATTGTAACCATTCGTTGCCAGACTGGAGGTTCCTCCAAATAATCTACACGGGGCACAGAACACAACTCCCTTGCTTTCTGAATATATAAGATATTTTCTAGGCATTATCTCACCATTTAGAAGACGCCGCTCAAAAACATTTTTGTTAAAGTACGACTTATATTACCATAATATCTTTTAGAATTCCCAAAATCGACATCTATATTTTGTTGAATATTATGTGTGGATAAGTATTCAATTGTAAAATCATTCAATATCCACTTTGCTGGATCATTACTAATTATCGGAAATACTTCTTTGTTTTGAATTTCTGAATTATACGATTCATAATTTTCTGTAATTTCATGTGATATATCCACGTCTATGCAATCGTTTTCTGAATTACGCGATTCATTATTATTCGTAATTTCGTGTGATTTATTTACGTCCATGCAATCGTTCTCGGAAGTACTGGAAGTAGTGGTAGTCTCTGATGTGCTTGCAACTAGAAGATCAGTTTTGTTAATATTAACTATTGTCATAACGTTTTTACTAGGTTCAACGTATTTATCATTACTACTATTTGTAACTTTAGAATTATTTTCAGATAAAACAAATGAATCTAATTTGCGCATTTTAGATAAGACCTCATTTTCGCGCTCTTTCTTAATTAATGCATTTTTTTTATATTGATATCCACTTAATTTCTTCCTTCCGGACATATTTATAAATATTTTAACCCGCCAAATTCGGGTCGTCTCAAGTTAAAATTTTTAACTGTCCAGAAACCAGAAACGAAAAACTCAAAATCTTGAAAAAATGAAAACTATATTAGAGTGATCTACTATAAC